CGGCGAGGGGCAGTCGGCAGCACCGCCGGGCACCGCCTGCCTGTACGCTGCCGCCTCTGCTGCCTGCAGTCTCTCCCCTCCTTGCCTGCGCTTCCCAAACCCCCGTCCAAGCGACGGGGAGAAAAGGAGATCCGTTTTCCACCTCGGCTCTGCCTTGGAGGAAGAGTCACAGAGAGGGAGCAGGTAGAGGTGGAGGAAGAGAGACATCAGAGTGAGTCCGGGGCAGAGCACAGCGAGAGGGATAAGAGAAAATAAACCTGCGGAGTGTCGAGGGGGAGCTGCGGCTTCGGAAGCAGAGGTGGCTTGGTCTTGCTTGGAGATGGACTCTCGGGAGCATCAGCTTTGGCCTGACTGAGGTCCAGGACGGTCCCGTCGTCACAGGTACTGTGTTTGACATCCCCCAGACCTTCCCCGATCTTCTCTCCAGCATCCTCGGATCCCTCTTGTCCTAGTAGTTCTTTAGGGAATACAAACTCAACCGAGGGATGGCTGCTGATCTCACTGATGGTTATCTCCAGCTCACGGATGGTTTCTTCCAGGCTATCCAGTCTCTGGTACGTGCCTTCATAAATCTCCTTGCTGCGCGGCGTCATGGAGTGGCGAGGGGACAACTGCCCTTCGCAGAGCCCCTCTGCCACCTTCCCCCCCGCCCCGGCGTCCTCCGCACCGCCTTTGCCCCCGGCAGCCAGAGATGCGCCATCCCGTCCCGGCGATGCCATACGATGGCTGCACCTTGAGAAAGCAGCGACCCGCTCACGGGGATGCTCAGCCCGGGACTGTCCGCTTCCCTGTGGTGGGGCTGGATCCCTGCCTGGGAAAGACCTGGGATTTGGCACTGGGGAGGCCGGGGCTGGCGAGCTGTCCTGCCTCCGCGCTTGTTTGCAAGCCCCGGCGGAGTCTCCAGGAGGTGACACGCTCTGCCGGGCTCCTCCTCGGGGGTCCCCATCGCTGGCAAACCCGGGGACGGCGCTGGAGGAGGGGAGAGCTGTCTCACCACCTCCGGGA